GAGGGCCTGGTACATCAGGTTGCAAGAGACGTGAAATAATACCAAGACGAGTGACCAGAGGCCTCTGTATTTTCCTCAGTGGTTCTGGGTGACAGGAGAAGACGGGCATGAGGCCTGGGCAGCAATGGCCAGGGATGTGCAGTCTCCCTGAGGCCCCGAAGGTGGCTGACTATGGCCCGGTGACTCTCCACACCGCCAGGAGAAAGTCGAGCACCACTATGCCCCTAACGGGGTGTTCAGAAGTGAGACACTGACTAAAGAGTATGTAATCCCCCAAAGACAGAAGCACAGCTCATTCCACCTGGCCGCCAAGTTTTAACTTTCTTTTCTTTTTTTTTTTTAATTTTATGTATTTATTTATTTATTTGTTTATTTGGCTGCTTTGGGTCTTCATTGCTGCGTGCGGGCTTTCTCTAGTTGTGGCGAGCGGGGGTTACTCTTCATTGTGGTGTGTGGCCTTTTCAGTGCAGTGGCTTCTCTTGTTGCGGAGCACGGGCTCTAGGCGCGCGGGCTTCAGTAGCTGTGGCTCGGGGGCTCAGCAGTTGTGGCTCGCGGGCTCTAGAGCGCAGGCTCAGTAGTTGTGGCGCACGGGCTTAGCTGCTCCGCGGCATGTGGGATCTTCCCGGACCAGGGCTTGAACCTGCGTCCCCTGCACTGGCAGGCGGATTCTTAGCCACTGCGCCACCAGGGAAGTCCTGTTAACTTTCAATCTGCCAGAAGCAATGCACCCACTTGATTCCCATTATTCTGGGAGGTGAAGTAGCTCTTCCAGCAGCAACACCTGACAGCCTACACCTGTCTGCAGACTTTGGCCATATAGACAATACACAATAAAAAGAGATACAGAGAATGATTTTTAAATTAACGTGTTTCTTTGTCAAGAGATTATGTAAAATATATTAATTGCCATTTCACATATTGAAAAGTCAACTCAGGTGATGACTTCTGTAATTGAAGAAATGGTCTGAGTGTTATGTGATGAAGACATTGTACAGTTAATCAGAACTCAAGTTAAAATACATTTGCCATTTTTTAACTCTCTAGAGGCTTAATGTGTGAGACTTTCTTCAAAACAAAACAAAAGAGTAATTCAAAAGAAAACTCTGGGGACTTCCCTGGTGGTCCAGTGAGTACGACTCCGCGTTCCCAATGCAGGGGGTTCCGGGTTCGATCCCTGGTCGGGGGAACTAGATCCTGCGTGCGTGCCACAACTAAGAGTTCACAAGCTGCAACTAAGACGTCTGTGTGCCGCAACTAAGAGCCCGCACGCCACACCTTAAAGATCCCACGTGCGGCAACTAAGACCCGGGGCAACCAAAATAAATAAATAAATAAATAAAATAACTATGATTCTTTAAAAAAAGAAATAATTGTTCATTTAAAAAAAAATCCTGAAATTCAGCTGTGAACATTAACAAGAAAAATATGTATCCAAAGTAGTGATTGCCATGTTTTTAAAAACTGATTTCAGGTTTTACTTGTAACGTAGTAGTAAATATCAACACAAGAAATCCTGTGTAAATGATGGCATTTTTATTTTGCAACAAAGACGTGCATTTTTGCGGCGAGGCACTGAAGTGGCAGAGCACACACACCCAGGGGGGCTGGGGTGACTCCCGGCTTGCTCCCTCAACCTGCCCCAGACTCTGAGCACCGTCGCTCCTGTCTGCAAGCCTCCAGAAGCTCAGGGGCTGTGAAAGCTGGGGCAATGATAACCTCTGCCCTGCGGGGCCCCTGGGATTCAGTGGGGGCTCCCGCATGCCAGGCCCCCCGGCACACAGGCGCTCAGTGAGTGCGCCTGAGCATGGAGATGGGTAAAGTGACTTCTGAAGATGGCACCGTACTTTTGCATATCTTAAGCACAAAAGAACGATACATAAATAACTTAGGACATCTGCAACGAACACTTGCTGAATGCCAGCTCTGTTAGGCATCTTCTCCTAGTAAAACGGTGACTAACGTGACAACATAAATTCCCCCTTTTATGCTACTTGTGCTTTACTACAGTCCTATTAGTACTACTGTACCAGATTAATTTGGTGACACGCACAGAATCATAAATTCCTGACGGCAACCGTGACTCTCTCTAGGGACTTGATAACTGCATGAAATGCCCTTCAACTCCGAGGCTCGTCACCCCTATGTGCTGGCGCCTGCACTGCGTCAAAGAGGAAGCAGCAGGACACAACCTAAGAGCAATGTCATGCTTCCATGAGCCTCTCTGCAACTGCTTGCTGAATTTGGAAGACAAATGCAAGTACAAAACGGGCGGTGGGCCTCCACAACCAGGAGCCGACCAACACTGTCCTTTCCTCCTACAATAGGCACATCTGAGGAAAACCCAAACACCTTAACTGTGTCTGCCTAGGAAACAGGACAAGACAGGTTTCATTTCTGCAAGACAAATAGCTGCATCAATAAGTGTGGGTGACTAACAAGGGTAACTGGTGGAGAGCACTTCTAGGAGCAAGACTACTCCTCAGATACGCACGTGCTCATTTTCCTTTGATGTGCCCAGAACACTGTCACCGTGGGCAACAGGGATGTCCGAGCTCTGCCTCGGCGCCTCGGCGTCTCACCAAGGGGAACTCCCACCCGTATAGACTGAAGCCGCACAGCCGTGCCCTCCTCTCCCGCAGCTGCACTGCAACTGGCCTCACGCAAAGCCGGCGTGTGGTCTCCCACACACACTTGAAAACCTGGCAACGCCATGTTTCAATGAATAGGGTGCCCGGCAAAGGAAGGACTGCCTGGAGTAGAAAGAAAGGCAGCACCCTCCTCCCTGAACAGCCAAACGAAGGAGGACACGACGGGTCAGCACCTCATCTTCTCAGCTGTGAAGACGGCTGCAAGCAGGCGCTCCTACTCTGAGCTGCTCCGGAACCAGTCTGCTCAGGGAGGCACCTCACTCTACCTGCACCACACAAAGAAGATGGCCCTTCTAGGAGGAGGGTTTTATCACCTGAAGGGATGGGAGATCCTTTAAGAAGTTCTTAGGGAAGGAGAACGCATTTGTATGGAATCTGTCGTAGGATGGCAAACATGTGGACACAAAGATGTTCTGATGTAAGAAGCAGAACCACACTGCAGCCAGGACCCGTCCCACCAGCGCTGAGGCCTCATCTTTGACTCTGTGGTTTAGTGGCTGGGCCATCGCAGGCTCCACCCTGGTCATGCAACTGCTGAGTTGAATCCATCCGCGTACTTGTATTGCGAGGAACGCACTGCCGCCATCGCTCAATGATATGCAATGATTCTTCTGGCTGCCGCGTAATAAAAAATATATATATTTGGCCCTTGCCCCTGGTTTCCAGTACAGAGCTCCTAAAACCCTTGGCATTTCCTGGGCAATCAGAACATTTTTCATTACTCGTAATAATCTCCTTTCAAGCACATGTCAGCTTATGCTAACGAGTGACAGTCCTGGGCCCCAGATGCCTTCGGGATGGGGGCTGGTGGACAGAAAGACCAGGCAGGATTAGAGCGCTGCAGCTTGCACCCCACCCCAACCTGCAGGCCCGGCGACGCAGTCAACAAAGGCCCATGGTTTAACCAGCAGTGCCAGGCAATGGAGCCTCCGCAGAAAGCCCTAAGGTTCTCGGAGCTTCTGAACACAAGGGGATGCTGGGAGGGTGGCGTGCTCAGAGAGGGCATGGAAGCCAGCACCCTGGCACCCAGACCTTAGGCTAAGCAGCTCTTCCACCGGGCTGCTCCTGAGCTGTACTCCTACACTAGACCAGTGAACGCAAGTCGCATCTTCCGAAGTTCGGTGAGTCATTCTAGTGAATTATAACAACCGGGAAGGGGGCTGTGTGGGAACCCACGTCTGTGGCCGGATGGGAGAAGCACGAGGGGCCTGGGTACCTCGTCGGAGGCTGGCATCCGCAGCAGGGGCAGTCTCGGGGGCTGAGCCCCCAACCTGGGGGTCGGCGCTGACTCCAGGTCCTTAGCGTCAGAAGTGCGCTGAATCGTGGGACGCCCAGCAGGCGTCTGAGAATCAGAGGAAGCCCGAGGGGTTACACAGTTCGACGGCCCTTACAGGCTCAGTGTAGTCAGTTAGGCCCCGGGCCCAAAAAACACATCACTCAACAACGTTCGCCACTGTCAGCTGCATCGGGAGGCAGGCTTTTGAGTAACCTTCCCTGCACTCGTGGTTAGTGTGGCAAAGGCCGCGTTAGTGACAGGCAGACAGTGAGAAGATCTCTCACGGAAAGGCTCTTCCCTGCACCCGTGCCCCACGAAGCACTGCACCCTCGGATGCAGGGACCAGGCGGGAGCACCGTCACCCCGAGGGACACCCCGCCTGCTGTGGACACACGTGGGTCACCAGCAGCAACCGCTCTCGAGAAGCCCCAGGTGTTCTGGAATCTGCCTCTGCAGGTGGCTGAGGCTTCTTCCCCCTCCTCCGTCTCACCAGCCCCCATGAGCAACGCGGAGACTCAGCAGAAGCGAACAAGCCCCGTCGCGCACTCTCAGCACTCTTCCTGGGCTCAGACACCACCTCCCCAACTCCAGCACGGACCAGCATAAGGAAGCAGCCCACAGAGGCAGGACAGAGCTCCGCCTGCAGCCCCCTGGCAGGGGAGAAACCGAGAAGCATTTGGGGGAAGGGGTGGTGAGCACTGCTGACTTATGTCTGAATTGCTGAACTGCAGGGAACATGTTGTGTCCAAGGCTGCTCGTTACAAATAAGGACACCGTCGCCATGCATCACTGAAGGCCCCCCTTCCCTGCAAAGTGCCCGTCAGGCAGTGCTCTGCGAAGCCTAGGCTTTCTTACATTCGGGCACCCCAGACGATTCTGGCCGGGACTCACTGGCCAGGTGACTTGGGGTGGCTGCACTCCGCCACAAAACGAAGGGATCTCCCCACGCACCTTCCACCCGGCGACCCCACTGCCCTCTCCTTGAGTCCTCGGGAGTGCCGCGCAGCAGCTGTCCACGTGGACACAGAGACCCTGCGCCTGCGCACGGCGTAACCTGTACGCCCGCTGCCGCTTACCTGCTCCACGGGAGCGGCGGGAGAAAACCTGCGGGCGCACGCCAGGAAGATGTCTGGCTCCGGCTTCCCACTCCTCACTTCGGGGTCATCGCCGAGGACGACGTGATGGAACAAGCTGAAGAAGCCCTCGTGTCTGCTGGTCTTCATCTGGAAGGATGCGGTCCCTGAGCTGGTGGCCACAGCACAGGGCACGCCGTGCTTCCGCAGGTGGTGGATCAGCTTCTCCACACCTGGGGGCGGGGGGGGGGGGCGTCAGTGATGATGGGGAGCAGAGGTACCGGCCGCAGGCCTCCAGGGACACTGCGCCAGCTCTGCCGCCCTGGCTCTGCTGCCTCTGCCCAGACATCGTGTGAGCTCACACTGTCCTGACAGGGGTCGTCAGCACTGGGGCATCCCCACGCAACACAAACGTCAGAGAGCGATTCAGGGCTCAGCGCTAGCACCTCCCAAAGTAACAGAGGTGACGGTACTGGGATGCTGCTGCTGTGTTCGTCAATCCTATCAGAGCCAACCCAGGGAAGGGCCTCTGCACTGAGTACACAGGGCTTCGTTTTGTTTTGTTTTAAAGCAATGAAAACACAAGGACTATGCTTTTGGTGTTTTCTGAGGAAACTCTGTATTGTACAGAAAGCAATTCAGCATTCCTCACACTGCTGGACCCTGAACCAGCCCCCATCAGAGGCTGAAGGGAAAGGTCGCTGCTGAAGCAAAGCTGCAGGACCACCTACCAAGGGGTCAGACAGTGAAAAGGCTCTGCTTAACACAGCTGAACAACAATAACAACACACCACGTGAAAGACACGCTTCCGCGTTCCTATCAACGGTGGTGGTTAAGTCCAGGAAACACGTAGGTTAATGTATTATCCTTGGAGCCAATTAAGAGACCGCCAGTTATAAGAAATGTGACAAAAATGACAGTACTTTCCACCTTCAACACACCCGATTACAACAACAGTAATGTCTAAATCCACACAAAGGTTTATCTAAAATAGTATCTTAAATAATCAGATAATCACGGCTGTTTCAGTAAGTACATAAGGCGATGTCCCTAGTTTCTCAATTGCTACAGAAAAGATTGACACGTTTTTCGATACCTGAACCCATTCAGAAAGGCAACAGATACTGTGATCCTTCAGAGAAACAGTCCTATGAGGTGCTCAGAGGAAAATGTGGACCTCAACTCCACGCCAAGACAACTAAATCAGCAAAATCTAGCACTTGGATGGATGTAAAAGTCAGTGTCCGACATCCAATCAAAATTACCATGCTTGCAAAGGAGGAAATACAACCCATAACCAGGAGAAAAAGGCAATCAATAGAAATGAACACAAATATGGAAGAGATGATGGATATCAGCAGATACTGACCTCAAATAACAGCTTGGTAAATATAATTACGCCCAAGTCAGGGACTGTCAGAATGGAAAAACGAACAAAAATAAAAGTGAGACCCAAATACACGCTGTCTGCAAGAAACTTACTTTAAAGATAAATACTCAGATAGGTTAAAACTAAAAGGAGTGAAGGACTTCCCGGCGGTCCAGTGGTTAAGATTTCACCTTACAGTGCAGGGGGTTCAGGTTGGATCCCCGGTTGGGGAGCTAAGATCCCACATGCCTCGTGGCCAAAAAACCAAAACATAAAACAGAACCAATATTGTGACAAATTCAATAAAGACTTTAAAAATGGTCCACATTAAAAAAATCTTAACCAAAAAAAGGATTGAAAACTATGTATTATGTCACTACCCATCAAGAGTCAGTGCAGCTGTACTAACAAAAGACAAGTGGGCTTTAGAACAACGAATGACAGTTATCAGGGATAACTAGGGATGTTTTGTAATGACAAATAGGTCAATTCATCAAGAAGATATGGCAATTCTAAATGTGTATGCACCAAATAACAGACCTTCAAAATAGGTAAAGCAAAAACTCAAAGCACAGAAAGGAGAAAGATGTTTCAAATTCCTCTCAGTAATTGACAAAACAAGTAGACAGAAGATTAAGTATGGTACTGCTGACTTCAAAAACACTATCAAGCAACTTAACCAAATGGACATTTATATAACACTTTACCCAACAACAGCAGAATACATATTATTTTCAAGTGCATATAAAACATTCAACAAGATAAAATACACTATGAGCCAAAGAACAAGTCTCAAAAATTTTTAAGTAACTGAAATCATACAAAGTAATTTCCCTGACCATAGGAGAATTAAAATAGAAATGGTATTTGAAAAATCAAAAACTGGAAGAAAGAAAAGAAGATCTACAATCTAAGATTTTATCTTAAGAAAGTAAAGAGAAAAGAAAAAAATAATAAACTCAAAACAGAAAAGAGAACGTAGAAAACTGATTAAACCAAAACCTAGTCCTTTAAAAAGATCAATTTAATTGGTGGGCTCTTAGCTAGACTGATCAAGGGAAAAAAAAAAAATCCAAGTTTATCGCAGTGAAAGAGAGACAGCACTACAGGTCCTTAAAATCATTAAAAAGGATACACAAAATATGACAAGCAACTTCAAGTCAATAAATTTGCTAACTTAGATAAAATGGACACGTTCTTTGAAAGCTAGAAAACTCACTCAAGACGACGCTAATAACCTAACTAGCCCTAGGTCTATTAAAGAAATTGAATCTGTAGTCAAGAACCTTCCCAAATCTAGGACTGGATGGCCTCACTGGTGAATTTAGCAAGCATCTCAGAAAGAAAGAAGAAATAAAGAAACCGCAAGAAATTGGAGGGAACGCTCGCTTCCCAACTCATTTTATGAGGCCAGCACTTTCCTGATACCAAAGCCGGACAAAAGTCACACAAGAAAACTACAGACCTGTATGACTTCTGAACACATATGCTTAATTTCACACTGAAAGGAATTTCCAACCAGTGTGAAAGTATTCTACGTGAAGGGTTTCTATGGGGTGTGAATCTATCATGTGAAAACATGAAAAAACCACAGCATTCAAGATTGTTTGCAACAAGCACTGATTAACAGCATGGAGAATTACATTTACCAGTTAAATTTCAGTTAAAAAACCCTTTACTTAACGGATGAATTAAGATGGATGAAAGAATGCCTATAAACAAACAGACATCCAATAATCACCTCTGTCTGGATACGGTGATTAAAGTTGAGTATCAACGTGATTTGAATTTAAAACAAAATATTCAAATTGTATCACACAATAGTAAACCAACATATTAAAAAATAATGGAGCATATTTAAACAGATGCTTTCTCTAAAACCTACTGGAAAAAGAAAACTTTGCTGGAAAAGTTCTCTGGTGCTACTGATTTTAAAAATTTAAATATAGTTTATCTCATTTTAGCTTATCCTTCTAACATTTCTAGTTCTGTGAACATTTCATAATGTACCTAATGTAACAGCAGAGTACTATACATAAATAAGTACACACCAATAAGCCTATATTGGAGTGAGTACTCAACATTTTTTTTTTTTTTCCGGTACACGGGCCTCTCACTGTCGTGGCCTCTCCCGTTGCGGAGCACAGGCTCCGGACGCGCAGGCTCAGCGGCCATGGCTCACGGGCCCAGCCGCTCCGCGGCATGTGGGATCTTCCCGTACCGGGGCACGAACCCGCGTCCCCTGCATCGGCAGGCGGCCTCTCAACCACTGTGCCACCAGGGAAGCCCGGAATTTTTTTTATTGTGGTAAAATATCATGAAGTTTACCATCTTGTGCATTTTTAAGTGCACAGCCAGGGGCATTCAGGAGCTTCACCTTGTTGTGCAGTGGTCACCACCAGCCATCTGGAGAACTCTCACCTCCCCAGACAGAAACTCTGTCCCCAGTGAACACTGCTTCTCCCCCGCCCCACCCCGGTAACCTTCACACCACCTTCTGTCTCTGTGACTCTGACCACTGCAGCTGACTCCGGTCAGTGAAATAACACAGTATTTGTCTCTTCTGTCTGGCTTCTTTCCCTGAGCACAATGTCCTTAAGGTTAACCCGTGTTGTAGCCTGTGTCAGAATTTCCTCCCTTCTTAAGGCTGAATAATATTCCACTGTAGGAATACAAGACATATTATTTATCCAGTCATCCATCAGTGAATACTTGGGTAGCTTCAAGTTTTTGGCTATTATGAGTAACTGCTTTCCATTCTTTAAAAAATACAATATTTTTTATTTCTTGAAAAGCAAGCCGCAGTTGAAATATTTTGTCTGTTGTGCACCGCATCCCCGAAATAATGCTGGGAGCAGATCTTCCAAGACTGAAAATAGACTAATATACAGCTGACCACTGAACAAGAGGGGTTTGAACTGCGCGGGTCCACGTACAGGTGGACGTGTTTCAACAGTAAACACTACAGCGCTACACGGGCCGTGGTGGGTTGACTCGGCAGGTGAGGAGGAAGTGCAGACACAGAGGGCCGACTATAAATCACAGGTGTTGTCCAAGGTTCAAGTGTACCCGTACTGCCTGTGCACACACTGCATCCCCACTGCTGGGTGGGTGGTCTACCGGGAAGCTGTGGGATGCGGGGCAAGCCAGGCGGCCCCCTGGAACCTGGCCGTGTTCACTGGGACGACAGGTCACTCCTCACCCCACACAGGTGCCACCCACCCCGAGTCCGCACCTGTGCAGTCAGCACCTGCTCCTCAGACACCCAGAGCCTGTCCAAGCGGCTGGAAGCCACTCTCCTCAGCTGCCGACGCCCGTGACTAAACCATCATGGCCATCTATCTACCCATTTTCTCTCCACTGAATTGAGAGGTCTTTCAGTAAGGACTTCTTTTATCCGTGATCTCTTCCTCCCAAGTATTTAAAAATCCACAGGGGAACCGCCACACATTTAAAAACAAACTGCAGCTCGTTCATTTGAGAAAAACATTTATGCCCACAGTTAAGTAATAGCTAGAATCGCAGGAAGACAAGACATGTATCTTGTGGCTTAGTCTAGGATGTCTCTGTTATAATTTAGTGACAACTCAGGCACCTGGCAGTCTTTGAATGCCAGAACATTTAAACCAGGAAAAAGGAGTAACGTCCATGTACATCATCAAATAAGTCAGTACTCTACAGGACAAGGGGAATCAGAATTGTAAAGGTCTGTTACTGGCATTACTGACCAGCAAATGATTTTGAAGGAGCGTGGCATCGTGACTGTGGTTTGTTACCACGTCCATACTCAATATTCTCCTTTCACTGCTGTTGTGACTGATTTCATGATGAGAAAAGCTAGGCGTAACCTGAGACTCACACCT